GAACAACAATCCAGCAGGCGCCACGGAAGAGACTTTCGCAGCTGAAAATACAGCCAAGGTCGCGACTATGGAGATGCCGGCATAGAACAGATAGAGTCGCGACCTGTGGTAGACCGAGGCTCATTGAGGCCATTTCCTGACTCAGGGAGTAAGGTCCCGGCGAGGACACCTCCAACCGGTTGGGGACCTGAGTGGCAGGGCAGACGGCAAGGGAGAGCTTCGCTGATGATAGGTTGGCGCCAGGCGAGGAGGCCTCGAGCCTGTGCCAAGTGCGGTTGAAAGGAGAGTGCGCAGGATTGTCAGATTCCCCACCTGCTGAGTGATGAAGGCGTTGCTGTCGACAGACTACGGTACAGTGTAGGGACAGAGAAAAGGCTGCTGTATCATGGAAGAACGCTCTGCTCGTCCTAGACGCAGGCCACAAACCCTGAAGGAGCTGAAGCAAAGAGCCTTTTATAGAGAGATGGTCAGATGTGGTCTCTGCCGGCAGATCAGTCCAATGTCTCCAGGGCAGCCACCGTACCATAGGGCCTGTAGAAGGTGGGAGGTCAAAGGTGGGGCTGTTGGAAGGAGCCTTACCTGTAGCCGGCCTCTCGGCAAAGGCAAAGGGATTGCCAGTGGCCTTGCTCGTTAGACCTGTACGCCCGCGCTCCTCAAGTGACATCGGCTCGAGCCTGGCCTGTAGCTGGAAGAAGGTTTTGGCCACGGATTGTGGTGCGATCCTGTCGGGTAGCACGGGGCATGGCTCGGCTTGTGTGGCTGAAGGCGTTCCTGAGAGGCTTCCGCATGCAGGGGCATGGCTCGATAGACGACCTGTAGTGTATACACATGTTGCACTTGTGCAGGTGTGCATCTCAAGCCCCTCGCTTGCCATCTGACGCGAGCGATGGGTGCAGCTGACCATTCCATGTATATCCAGACACGAACCTGAGACATTGCATACCGAGGAGGGGTCCTGAGAGGCATACGACGACCATAGGAGGCTGACAGTTGCTTTGCAGTCAATCCTGTGATACAGGCTGAAAAGGCAGTAAGAAAGCGTGGCAATCAGAAAAGCACATCCAGTGACAGCGGGCCAGCCTGAGTTCGCCGATTGCTTCGGGATCTTGTTCACAGCCCTTGTGGCTGCTGGGGTGTCTTGACCAGCAGTTGCCATGGCAGCACCGAGGTCCCTGAACACCCTGAACCGCAGGCAGGGGAGGAAGCCCACACCAAAAGGGCAGGAGAGCCCCAAGCCCACGAAAGCACCAAAGCCCTAATCCGTAGGGCGCCCTGCTGTTGAGCCTTACATACATACATACATACATACATACATACATACATGCATACATACACGGCCAGGTATGTCAGTTTGTATCTATCTATCTATCTATATGTATATATATATATGTATATATATATATGTATATGTATATGTATATGTATATGTATATGTATATGTATATGTATATGTGTACGTGTAGGTGTATGTGCATATGTTTGTATATGCATGTGTATTTGTATGTTTATGTCTGTCTATATAGATATATATATAAATATATATGTGTGTGTGTGTATGTATGTATGCTTATGTATACATGTGAGTGAGTGAGTGAGTGAGTGAGTGAGTGAGTGAGTGAGTGAGTGAGTGAGTGAGTGAGTGAGTGAGTGAGTGAGTGAGTGAGTGAGCGAGTGAGCGACATGCTGCGCACGGTGGGATGCGCAACAGGCCATGCCTAAGGCGCCGATACCTCCCGGCTTCGCAGGGGGCTCCGCGAACGTCATCACCCCCTCCACTTGGAGTTCACGCTGGCGAACGCCCCAGCCCCGGAATCAACGTGCCAATGGCCAGCAAGGCCCAGTTAAGCAAGAGGCTTTGATTGACTCCGCATACAGCAACAAGTAGGCAGGCCCGCCACCAGCGAAGCTGGCAAGACAGCGTGCCATCCTCGCAGAAGTGCGTGCGATACGACTCTTCCCCCCAAGGTCCCCCTTGAGGGTACTAGGCCAGTCAGTCAACATCGCCTCTGCGTCGGGCAGCCAAACATGGCCAACACGCTTCTCCGCAGATCCCTCTACCGATACTAAGTGTTTTGCGCGACCCGATATGGCTCCGAGCACTCACACAGTCACCACCTTTCCTGGATAAAGAGAAATGGAAAAGCTGCATCCATCCCCCCACAAGCAGGTCTCATGACAGTATACCCTCGGACTGCGCGGGTGAAGGCCAAAGCTATGGCCAACACCCACCTCGGACGAGGGGTCTTATGTATACATGTATATGTATACGTAGATGCAGATGTAGATGTAGATGAAGATGTAGATGTACGTGTATGAGTATCTGTATCTGTATATGTATATGTGTATGTATATGTATTTGTATTTGTACATGTGTATGTATGCCTGCAACTCTACACCAGCAAGTATGTAAGTATGTAAAGTAATATGTAACAAGGTAATTGAGTAACTAAGTAAGTAAGTAAGTAAGTAAGTAAGTAAGTAAGTAAGTAAGTAAGTCAGTCAGTAAGTAAGTAAGTAAGTAAGTAAGTAAGTAAGTAAGGTAAGTACGTAAGTAAGTAAGTATGTATGTACGATACGCATGTAGAATTCCACATTATTGTCTATTGCAGTCATACATACACTGTTGTATGTGCAACGACTGAGAGGAATTCATGTTTGCAGCCGCCTTGGCCGAAACACAACTCGAAGGCGCCTCCTCCTTCGGCAGCGCTCGCTGCGCAAACTTGAGGGATTTGGACGCACCTGGAAATCAATCGCCAAGCGGCCCACATGCGAAGAGGCGAAAGTGTGGCAACGCGGGTTTTGATTTGGGGTCTGAGGTCCCTGCAAGGCACTAGCTTCCAGGTGTCTGCCCACCAAAGGCCTGGGCTCAGCACTTCCATCACAGCTTACACGAAGCGCAAGAAACCTGTGTCGCTCCTGCTCCAAGCTCCGTGCAGCTGTTGTATGCCTTGGCCAAGATTGATGAGCCGTTGAAGCGAAAGACTGTACCTTCAATCGGCCAGCACTTCACAAGCTTCAACATGCGGAACTATTTTAAGACGCTCACAAGAACTTGAATTCGAGCTTGCAAGCTGCATACCTGGTCCAGGGATTCGAGAATCTACGTGCAGGACAAACATTGGAGCAATGTGCTGGATCGTGAATCGGAGAGGTGCACTCTGATTGCACTGCTGTACAACAAACAAACAAACCGAGTTCACGACCATCGGCATCCTCAACTATGTGAAGACAGGTCTCATCTGCACCTCAGTGCCGGGGCAAGCGGTTCCCCAGATTCTACGCAACTGGATGCCGACCTGCTGACCGGAGGGTCATGTCTACATGCGGGCGAACCTTGGACGACCCAACACACACGGTGGAAGGCAGTAACGAAACAACTCAATGCAAAGACGATCACATCTGAGATGCCAACACACTGCCAACATGGTCTCTCTGATCCGACATCTATCCTGTACTGGAGTTGGTTTTGCGAAGGTTCTGTTGGACGGATACAAACGTGCCTGGGCCAAGAAGGATCTTGACACTCACAGGCCTCGGAAAGTGAGAATCAGCATGCGAAGAATGCAGCCGGATGTAGAACACCAGGACGGCCGGCAGATTCCGAGCAAGTGGAAGCATCTCCGGA